TACATCAAAAAGTCCGAAAGGTTACAAATTGAAAACATAATGTCACACTTCAAGGAACTAGAGAAACAAAAACAAACTAAACCCAAAGCCAGCAGAAGAAAAGAAATAATGATCAGATCAGAGCTAAATAAATTCGAAAAAAAAAATACAAAAGATCAATGTAACTTTTGAAATTAAAAAACTGATTCTTTGAAAAGATAAACAAAATGAATAGACTGTCAGCCAGATTAACCAAGAAAAGAAAAGATTCAGATAAGCTCAATTAGAAATGAAACTAGTAACATTACAACTGACACCACAGAAATACAAAAGATCATTTGTGACTACTATGAACACCTTTATGCACACAAACTAGCAATCTAAAGGAAAATGCATAAATTCCTGAAAATATACAACTCTCCTAGACTAAATCAGGAAACAGAAACTCTAAACAGACCAGTAATAAGCAGTGAGATTGAATCAGTAATTTAAAAATTGCCAAAAAAAAGCCCAGAACCAGATGGAGTCACAGCTGAATTCTACCAGATATTCAAAGAATTGGTACCAATCCTACTGAAACTATTCCAAAAGATTTAGATAGAGAGAATTCACCCTTACTTATTCCATAAAGCCAGTATCACCCTGATACCCAAACCAGGAAAGAACATAACAACAACAAAGGAAAACTGAAGACCAATATCCCTGATGAACAGAGATGCAGAAATCCTCAACAAAATACTAGCTTACCAAATCCTACAGTACATCTAAAAGTTAATACACCATGGTTAAGTGCATTTCATCAGGGATGCAGGCATGGTTTAACACACTCAAGTCAACAAATGTGATATATCAAGTAAACAGAATTAAAAACAAAACCCATATGATTATCTTAATAAATGCAAAGAAAGTCTTCAAAGTCTAGCATCACTTTATGATAAAAACTCTCAACAAACCAGGCATAGAAGGGACATCTCTTTTACAATGGCTACAAAAATAAAATACAATACCTAGGAAAATGCTTAACCAACGAGGTGGAGGATCTCTATAAGGAGAACTCCAAAACTGCTGAAATAAATGATAGATGACACAGGCAAATGGAAACACATCCCATGCTCATAGATTGGAAGAACCAATATCATAAAAATGACTATATTGCCCAAAGCAATCTACATGTTCAGTGCAATTTCTATCAAAATACCAACATCATTTTTCACAGAATTAGAAAAAATAATCCTAAAATGTATTGTAACTGAAAAAGAACCCAAATAGCCAAAACAATCCTAAGCAAAAATAAAATCTGGAGCCATCACATTAACCAACCTTAAATTATACTACAAGGTACCAAAACAGGATGATACTGATATAAAAATAGACACATAGACCAATGGAACAGAATAGAGAACCTGCAAATAAAGCCAAATACTTACAATCAACTGATCTTTGACAAAGCATACCAAAAACAGAAATTGGGGAAAGGGCATTCTATTTAATAAATGGTTCAGGAAAAACTGGATAGCCACATGTTGAAGAATAAAACTTGATCCCTATCTCTCACCTTATACAAAAATCCACTCACAACGGATCCATTTGAATCTAAAACCTGAAACCATAAAGATTCTGTAAAATAACCCAGGAAAAATTCGTCTGGAATTTGGCCTAAACAAAGAATTCATGAATAAGACTTGCTTTTGAAAGCAAGTGCAACAAAAACAAAAATAAATAAATGGGACCTAATTAAATTAAAAAGCTTCTGTATAGCCAAAGTATTAATCATTAGAGTAAAGAGACAACTCATAGAATGAGAAAAATTATTTGCAAACTATGTATCTGACAAAGGACTAAATATCCAGAATTCTCAAGGAACTCAAACAAATCAGCCAAAACAAAACAAACAAACAAACAAAACAAATAATCTCATCAAAAAGTTGACAAATGAAGGGAATCTTTACCCATTTATTCTAAGTGAAGTAACTCAGGCATGGAAAATTGCTGAGTTTGAGGAAATTGTTCCTTCTGTTTATTATTTGGGAAGTATAATTCTTGTTATGTTTGAAGGAGTTACACAAAGGGGTAGGAGGGTTAAGGAATACAGAAAGTATCTTTAATGGCCACTGTAAGGAATTAAGGGACACGTGAAATAATTATTGAAAGGGATTGAAATTCAGCTAAGAACAGAGAACATATATTTGCAGTGGTGTGATTTCCTCCAGAAGGGTTCAGCAAGTATTACATAGGAGGTATATGTTTTAATTTATACTAGTTGGGGACTTTCATGCGAGCTGAAGTTCTAGAGAAGGAACGGTTGAAATAATACAGCATGAGATCTAGACCTGTGTTTCAGTTATCTATTGCTGCATAACAAACAACTGGTCAACTTAGTGGCTTAATGCAACAATATTTATTTTTTTCTCATGCCTAGGAATTCAGGAAAGGCTCAGCTGAACAGTTCTTCTCTGAGTAATGTGCCTGGGATTACTCACTCAGCTGCACTCAGTTGAGCCTAGATTGGGCTGGGAGGTGTATAAGAAATTCATTCTCTTTTCTGACATCTCAGTGCTCCCTAACACAGCCTTTCCCTGTCTTTTTCTCTCCCTTTCTCTCTTTCCTTTGCCTTCCCATCTCTCTTTCTCCACATTGTGTTTCACCATTTAATAGTTAGAGCTAGCTTCTCTTTATAGCGTAGAGGCTGGCTTCCCTAGAGAATAATGTCCCTTCTTCACTTTCCATTAATTATAATTTTAGCCCAGCTTCAAAGAGAATTATAGAAATAGGATTCACCACTTGATCAGAGGATTGACCTACATATACAGGGAAGAGGAAAATCGGTGACAGCCATATCTGGAGACTACCCACCACAACAGGATGAGGAGAATAAAAGAAATGTAGCTAGGTTCCAGATATGCAATGAAAAATCCTGGGATCGTATTTGTCCATAGAGGAAGTAAAGGGCTGGAGTTTATTTTACGAGTAAAGTTATTGTATCTCTAGAGGGAACTGTAATATCTCTGCTAGTAGTCAGAGTTATCTTTCATTGTAGTACCACACATTTTCTAGCCAAAGTTTGAGGGCTTATAGAAAAATAAAAAACAAAACCTTTCTTCCTTCCTTCCTCCCTCCCTCCCTCCCTCCTTCCCTCCCTTCCTTCCTTCCCTCCCTCCCTCCCTCCCTCCCTTCTCTCTCTCTCTCCTTCCTTCCTTCCTTCCTTCCTTCCTTCCTTCCTTCCTTCCTTCCTTCCTTCCTTCCTTCCTTCCTTTTTTGAGATTTCACCATGTTAGCTAGGATGGTCTTTTAAAAAAATTATTTATTATATTTTAAGTTCTGGGGTACATGTGCAGATCATGCAGGTTATTTACATAGTTATACATATGCCATGGTGGTGGTTTGCTGCATCCATTGCCCTATCATCTACATTAGGTATTACTCCTAACATTATCCCTCCATAATCCCCCCACTTCCGCGATTTCTCCCCTAGCCCCCTACCCCACAGGCCCCAGTATGTAATGTTCCCATCACTGTGTCCATGTATTCTCATAGTCCAACACCCAATTATGAGTGAGAACATGTGGTGTTTGGTTTTCTGTTCTTGTGTTAGTTTGCTGAGAATGATTGTTTCCAGCTTCATCCATATGCCTGCAAAGGACATGAACTCGCCATTTTTAATTGCTGCATAGTGTTCCATGGTGTATATGTGCCACATTTTCTTTATCCAGTCTATCATTGATGGGATTTGGGTTGGTTCCAAGTCTTTGCTATTGTGAACAGTGCCACAGTAAACATACATGTGCATGTGTCTTTATAATAGAATAATTTGTAGTCCTTTGGATATATATCCAATAATGGGATTGCTAGGTCAAATGGTATTTCTATTAGCATTTTTTATTTGAAATTTCAATTTGATGTTAAGAATCAGTTCACTTTGAGGGGGGAAAAAAAGTAGGTTGGACATGAAAATATCACTTTAAAGTAGGTTCTCCTTGGCCTACAGGGAGACAGAGGTAAGGAAGGAATATTTCGGAAATATGTGAAGTCAGTATAGTAGATGTAGGATACACTCTTCCTTTGGGGATTTATTCCATTTATGGCAGCATTCAGTTCCCTTTTGAACCCAGGGGTATTCATTATCTAGGGCTTGCCATTCCTGGGTTTAAATATTCTTTTTTTTTTTTTTTTTTTTTTTAGTAATAATAATAACAACTCATGTTTATTGAGCACTTCCTATGTGCTGGCCACTGACCTGAGTACGATATACAAATTATCTCATTTAATCCATTTTGTAGGTAAACAGACATGGTTTTCCCAGAGTCACACAGTAAATGGCAGGGCTGGAGCTGTTTTCTCAAGAGAGGAACAAGCTATATACATTTGAAACCCAGCCCGACTTCTCTATCTGTATCTACTCTCTTGCTCAGCCCCACATTTCCCCCTGCCTTCCACCTCATGATACATTTTTAGTTGTTGCCCCACGTTTTAGCATCTAATTACTACCTAGCAGTTTCCTATGTTGGTTCTATTTAAACTTTTTGAGGCTGTGACCATCTTCCATCCCTTTATTTTCTTTTTTTTTTTTTTTAATTTTTTATTGGATTATAGGTTTTGGGGTACATGAGCAGAGCATGCAATATGAGGCCAACAATCATATGAAAAAATGCTCATCGTCACTGGTCATCAGAGAGATGCAAATCAAAACCACATTGAGATACCATCTCACGCCAGTTAGAATGGCGATCATTAAAAAATCTGGAGACAACAGATGCTGGAGAGGATGTGGAGAAAAAGGAACACTTTTACACTGTTGGTGGGAGTGTAAATTAGTGCAACCATTGTGGAAGACAGTGTGGCGATTCCTCAAGGCCTTAGAAATAGAAATTCCATTTGACCCAGCAATCCCATTACTGGGTATATATCCAAAAGACTATAAATCGTTCTACTATAAGGACACATGTACACGAATGTTCATTGCAGCACTGTTTACAATAGCAAAGACCTGGGTTTAAATATTCTTAGGAGCACCTGTCCTGGGATTTCTGTATCAGAGTTTCTCTTTCACTTTGACCCTCTATACAGTTTCTCTGCCTGTCCTTTAGGGCTTAAGATTCTGGAGTGAATGTGAGTCTACCTATCTATCTCTCTTCTTGCTCAGGCTTGCAATTTTAGACCAACTACCTTTTTGGCCTATGTGAAATTGAACTACATCTTCTTGGAGCTTCCCTTTATTACTTTTCTGAGGCTGTGCCATAGTCCTGGAGTCATTACGAAGTACCATGGACTGGTGATGAGAGTTCCTGGCTGATGATAGTCGAAATCTTAAGCTCTTTTAGAAGAGTGGGGTTTGAAATAAGAGGGATACACAAAAACAAAAAAAGATTTTCCTGGATGGGTGAAAGTTGCTAGGAGAAAAGAAATTGGCTATAATTATCCAGGAAATCCTATCACAAACCTTTCGTTATTTGAGTTTGTTTTCTGCTTTCATGGGGGCAAAGAACATGGAAAAGACAGAGAGAGAACATACATTCATAATGCAAATATTTTCCTGCCACATTTTCCCACCACTCCCAATCAATGATAATTTGTCTATATGTCTACCTCCTAAAGGGAACACTAAATAGTCTTTTAGGTCGGTCCATCTGAGTGAATATCATGATTCAAAAGAGTGAGGGAAACCTACTGAGCTCCTACAATCCTCATTCCTGTTATGTGTATCCACTTCAAAAGTGGTCTTTTGGAGAAAATTCCTGTTTTTCTAGTCATTCAAAGAAATGTGTTTAGTGATATGAATTTCAATGTAGGTAGAATCAAAGGAAAATTATAAGGCAGATGAGGGTGAGTGGAATGGTATAAGATTATTTAGTTATAATACTTAACTAGTGGATTACTCACCTCTTGTAGAATAGGGTCTGTCAATGTGTGCACATTGGTGAGAATCATAACAATGCTGACGTGAATATTGCTTTACAATATCTGGAGCACTTTTCTATCTACAATTGCATTTGAACCTGGATTCTACTCATAGAATGTTGCCATGAAAAAAAATCACTTGTTTTCTCTTCCTTTACAATATAGGATTCCTAATTAAAAATGTAATGAGCAGATGAAATTACTTGTCTCCGAAACATTCAAGAAACAGAGAGTTCACTGCTTCACGATGCCAAGTGTTTCAAATGTACAGCTCTAACTGTTCAAAAGAATTTATGTTTTTAACAGAGCTGATAGGTATCATCCATAAATTTCATTCACTAGCCTCGATGTGGAGCTTAGACGAAAAGAGCCACTCTTTGGAGTTAGGTGCATGTGGATCAAAATACTAACTTAACCACTTATTGCATATGATTCTTGAGAAGTGGCACGAACTCTCCAAGTAACACTGGGTGATCTGTAAAATGCTGGTGATCGTACTGGCCATAGAGGATTTTTCTGAGTATTAAAAAGTGGTGAACCATCAGCCTTTATGATACTAGTTTACTTAATTCTCTCCCAATAGAGGGAAATTTATGATGAACATCACCCATTTCTGTATATTGTATTATGCATTTTCCATTCAGGCTCCAAGTCACTGCTTTCACTGTGAGTGTGTCTGTTGCAGTTAGCATTCTCTCTACTCATGTACTGTTTTGGACCTGCTAAAACCATGCAACAGGTAATCCCACACCTTATAGCTGAAGGTTGATTAAAAGGCAACATGCTCTGAATGAGGATCTAGCCAAAGTCCATGTATAGTTCAGATTTAAGTTTTGTGGACGTTCTTTCCCTGGCCCAGAGTTCCTTCACTTTTATTTCTGAGCTCCATTAGGTTTTAAATTATTGGTCTTATTAAATGCTTGATAGTTTCCTCCACAACCTGTTCCTCCTTCTGCATACACCATCACTATGCATAGCATCAATATCTTTCCAGTTACTTGGGCCAGAAACAGGGAATCATACTCACATTCACGCTCAGTCTAAATGTCACGATCAGAGTAGGTTCTGTCAACACCACCTCTGAAATATATTTTATATCCATCCCCTTCTCTCTGTCCCCACAACCACCCTGGTCTAGATTGGGACCATCCCTCCTTGGAACTATTGCAGAGCTTCCCAAATGGATGATGTCAAGTTAACGGAAGAAATTATAAAATGAAATGATAACCTATTTAAGAAAACCGGGGTCTCCGTAATGTATGTAGGAAGGCCTCTATACCACTGCTGTCTATCTTTCTTTTGATTATTAAAGTAGTAAGTTTCAAGTTACCTGGAAAATTCAGTAATGTGGAACCTCTCATTTCTTAACTGTGATAAACAAAAAAGAGGACGAATATAGTGCGTTTATTCAAGATTGATTTTTGCAAATGATTGTTCCAGTATGTAGTTTGTACTTCTGACTCATGGAGCCTCTCTTTTTGTTCTGGCTGCTTTGAAAAGCCAAGCAAGAGTTCCTTCAAGTCCAGCGGTTAATTGTCACAGTGATGTCTGTTTGATGACTCCATATTTATTTTAAGAGGAACTGCATCCCGTTGGGCCTGCCAGGATGAGTTAGCTGCGAAATGCATTCCTAAATAGCTAAATGATTCAGCACAGAAACCCATATATAAAATTGACTTTGTAATGCAGCTACATGTCTCTCTGTTGGAAAGTCTATCTATTCCAGTTCTGTGCTTTATTTTATAATTCAATATTGCATATGAATAGGTAATGGAGGGAAGCTTTCCTGCCTCACAAAACCCATGTTACAACCAGTATGTCGTTAAGACTTCACCCAGGTACTTGGAAGCTTCTTTTGACGAGGAGGTATATGGGGGTAAATGTATCCGAAAATATTCACAATTGCACACTGCAGTTTGCAAATAACAATGAGGATGCTCTTGAACCGAGAAACCCCCAAGAGGGTACTTACCTCCTTTGCATCAATAAAGTAAAACAGCTTCTTATCAGAGGCTGACTTTCGCTTACAGCTAGAAATCTGGCTAAACCCAGTTTCTAACCACTTAGAGACTTGAAATAATTCCCAAATTATACCTTCCTTCAAAGGGAATATGCTTTAAATCAAGTGTTTAATGTTAGAAAATAATAATTCAAATACTTGCACACCTTAGCAGCCTGTTTTAATTTAGAAACAAAGAGAACAGAGAACAGCACAGATTGTGCTTTGGTCCCAGCCTCCCCACTTCCCCCAAAAGTACTCAGGAAATATGCTTCTTTTTAAAGAATAAGGACTTAATCAGCACTGACTGAACCCCACAGTGACTCAACTGGGCATTTTCCTCAACAAACAGTATATTAAGGGTAAAAACGTGGTGTTTTTCTGATACAGAATGAGGTCTAGTGATGTAAAGTTGCTGTTTACAAGGGCCAGAGTACCAACTTGGTTTTCAGCAAATTCTGTGTGTGTGATGGTTAATTTTAAGTGCCAACATGACTGGAGAAACCTCAATTAATACAGCATATTTCATTCAATTACCAGCAAAGCAACCAAAGACTATTGATAGACTGTGTATTTATATCCATGGTTTCCTGCATTCTGTGGACCCTCTGATAATTCTGAGGGGAAAATAATTGCTGCATTGACAAAATGTGTGATGTGGGTGGAAAGAGAGGTGCAGCGTGCTTCCAAGGACGGCCCATCTTAATAGAATTGTGGGAGAGAACAAGGTGAGTATTCCAGATATTCAGGTAATCAGGTATACAGGAACCCACTTTCTCTCCTATGTGTCTTGACAGACATTCAAATTATTTTTTCTGCATTCTGTGGTTTAGATAAGAAACCAAGATAAAAAAATGATGGTTGAGAATCATGATGCACCATTTCGAGTGTTGTCTTGTCACAAAGTCACAAAATTGTGAGAAACCCAATTAATTACATTTAGTATAATTTTCTTTATCTGTGAAACACATAAGAAGAGATGGTTGATTTCTGAGATCCCCTTAGTGCTCAAAGAATCTAAGGTGAGTGAGAAGGGTGGAGGAATGCAGAGGGATTATTCATACTGACAATATACTCAGGAGTTTTGTACTTCCACTTTTTTTGCATATACATTTGCACTGTAGTATTTTTTTTTTTTTCCTAGATCAAAGTAAGACAAAGAAAGTGTCATAGAACCTAGTTCAGTCTTGTGGTCAACATTTGAATTTCTTCTAAAGTACTTTTACTAAATAACCATATATTCCATACTTGAATGCCTCTGGTTACAGAATACTTATAATCAGCAAATTTATTCACTCCGTTTTTGAGGCATTCTAACCATTCTGCCTTAGGAAATATGTTATTTTTTCAGCCCTACAAAAGTACTACAAAATGAGGTTACTTTTTTTAATATAAAATAATTTCTCCAAAGTTGGTCTAGTTACTGGAAACTTACCCTTTTCAGTGCTTTCATTTCTTTCTCCTGACAGTGTCTCATGTGGACTTCAGACAATCTTTGGAATCTTCTTTGTCAACAGATTCAACCCACCATGGTGCAAGTTGCCATGTTTTCTGGGAGGGAGCGAAGCTAATGCCTGGCTTCCACATGAGAAGCCTAGTACCAGGGTCATACATGGTGCCTCTGGAAAGAAAATGCTATTTGCAACTATAACCCACTCGCACCAATTGTGAACCATATCAGTAGGGGCACATAGTCTGGCAGTGCCTACAACATGAGTCCTTGGATTACTAATAGGCATTAAAGTTCCCAGTTCAACGTGGACAAAGGGAGGGGAGCATTACACACTGGCGTCTGTTGGGGGGAAATAGAGGAGGGACAGCGGGGGGTGGGGAGTTGGGAGAGATAGCACAGGGAGAAATGCCAGATATAGGTGAAGGGGAGGAAGGCAGCAAATCACACTGCCACGTGTGTACTTACGCAACAATCTTGCATGTTCTTCATATGTAACCCAAATCCTAAAATGCAATAAAAAATAAATAAACAATAAAGTTTCCAGTTCATTTTAAATAACTAAGTCTAGTTCTTTATCATCTTTATCATTAACCTGAGAATAGTTAATCCAATTTGTTCTGTTTGTCCACACCGTCGGCTGGGTGATATTCATCCACTCCATGAAATTACTGTGCAACTGCTTTGGTAATGGAGAGGGGAAGACATCTGGAGCTGCTGGTGGGTGTGATGAGTGGGAAGCTTGGGAGTATAGGATCTGGGACCCTCTTCTGCTGTTTCTGATAAACTTCTTAGTAAAGTTAAGGTGAGTGGTGGTCAAATTGCGCCAAGAGCTCTCTGGTAGACCAAGCAGTTATTTAATCTACTTGCAATACTTTGACAGAGCTGTAGCAGAGTGTTTTCTTTAATGGTTTCTATACAGGGTGTTTTCTTCCTACAAGAAAGACAGATCATTAATGTCCCCCCTCTTTTTTTTTTTGAGACGGAGTTTCGCTCTTGTTACCCAGGCTGGAGTGCAATGGTGCTATCTCGGCTCGCTGAAACCTCCACCTCCTGGGTCCAGGCAATTCTCCTGCCTTAGCCTCCTGAGTAGCTGGGATTACAGGCACTCACCACCATGCCCAGCTAATTTTTTGTATTTTTAGTAGAGACGGGGTTTCACCATGTTGACCGGGGTGGTCTTGATCTCTTGACCTTGTAATCCACCCGCCTCAGCCTCCCAAAGTGCTGTCACCCCCTCTCTTATGTACCTCCAAGGGTTTCAGTTGCTGAGCACTGTGGTTGTTACTGTCTCTCCATTGATGCAAAATTCGTGTGTCCATTCCACAAGCTGTAGCTTCACCTTTTTCCCAATCATCCCCTATTCACACAGCAACTTTTTGTTAGAAACAATCTATTTAAAAAGGGGAACACTTTTATAAAATATAGAGACACTAATTATGTACTCCACTTTGTCTTACATGGGTCACCATCGAGGGACTCAGTGAGACATGTATTTATTATCTTTATGATCTAGGGCCATGCCAATACAAGAGAATCCAGGTAGATGAACTAGAATGAGCTCCAAATACTTTAGGTGTCCTTTTGATAAGGTACCTCAAAGATATACCAACTAGATTTTGTTAGAGTTGCTGTTAAGGGAAAGAAAAAATTGTCAAGCTTAGGAATTGTCAGGGTGGAATCCCGAATTTTCAAAGTATGTCTATATAATACACACCGCTTTCTTCCTCACAGTTATTGACAGTTACCCAAAAGGAGCTAGAAGGAGATAATCCCTTTCCATGGAAAGGCTATATTCAGTGGCCAAACTATCTTTCTAAGATGTATGGATTTGGAGTCAGAAAGCTTTTTGAGTCTATTTTGGAGGCTGTTCCCAACATTGTGCACTGATGTTAGATTGCAAATGGCACAGAAAGCTGAAAACAAGACATGGATTAATTTTACAAGTCACAGGGGCATGACCAGCGTTGGCTAATTGGGTGCAGCTACTCATAATCTGAAAAAGTATTGACAGTGATGAGGCATCATTAATAGTCTTGCAAGGGGTTAAAGTTCTGACACACTCAATCTACAGAGAAGAGATGGGGACCACCCCCTGTGACATGTGGTCTTTCCAACTGCAAGACTAACTGGTTAACTTTGGGTGGGACTCGTATCTGGTGTGCAGTAGTGGCCTGTGCCTCAGAAACAAGGGATGCTTGACTTTGTGTCAGTCTATGATGGTGGATGCATTGTCACGTCCAGTACTATGATAGATCCAGGCAGCACTCGTGACAATCTGGGCTTAGTTAGCAGCTTGATTCTAATTGGTTTCATCATAGAGCTATCCCTTAGCAGGGTCATCTACATCAGTGACTTACATGGTTTGATTAGCAGCTGTGATTTGTCTGCAGTTCGTAGCCCAAACAAGGTATATCTTTCATCTTCCAACCTATAGTTTTCCAAGTGGCAGGTGAATAGCCAGGTTATTGTAAACAAGAACCACTAGCTCAAGGATTAGTAGGAGCTGAGAATGGCCTTGAGTTTTGCCCAGGGAGCCAACTGACCACTTCTACTTTCTGTTCTATAGGGCTGGAGCTGAGGTTTGACAGCTGCAGTAGCCAGTGAACATAATTGGGTTTTAGTGTAGATGAACTATTAGTGAACCAGGCTCAGGCATTTAAGGGAACTTTAATGTACTGAGGGCCCTATTGAACCAGCAGCTTTGTGGAGTATAATGTTTCTCCTGAAGGGATAACTTTTACTTTTTAATGAAAGATTGAGATGCTGCTTGGGCCAGACTGATTTCAGTACTGAATATACCATTTCAATTTCATAAGCAAATGTGTTGGGCCTTTTCTACCATGTTGGCCATTTAGTTAACATGGACTCACTCTAAAATGGCAATACCAGCCTGGAAAGTAACAGGATCCCATGGGTCAGGAGGTCATTTATGTCAAGAGCCCAAGAGCAAGTTGAAAGACACTTCACAAAAGGAATCTACTTGGTAGCCTTCAGAGGCAATGAGTTCAAACCCTAAGAAACTTCTCTGGGTTGAGGCTCCCACGGTTTGCCTGAGGCTCCACTTGGCAAAAATCATCAGTCACAGAGATCTTTAGTATTAAAGGGATTATTAAGACTATGTGTCCCCAAAGATATTACCACTTCTTTACATGCAGTTCTTCTCAATCAGGAGAATCTCCTCTGGCACATATGGAATGAGGAAGTATAAACATAGAGTACAATACTTTCTCTTACATGTTCAGATGCAGAAGCAAGAGAAACATTAAAGTGGCCCAAAGGAATTATCCACAAGGTCACATTCACTTTCTTTCTTCACTCTTAACCCAACTCAAACCCAACCATTTGAATCCAGGAAGCCCTCTTGTCATGGGACTGGAGTGGATGGTGAATTTGGCTCCTTTATCCAGAAAAGCTGTGAAAGTTTGTGACTGTCTTCTCACCGAAGTTTTACTACATACTCAATGGGTATGACTTTGAGTTTCCTCTGGGAACAGGGAGCACTTTGATCTACCCCTAATAATCTTTATCCTTAAAGTCGTTAAGATCAGGGTAGACGGGGATGGAGGGTTAGGGGGTCCGTGGAGAGGGAATGCTTCTGTGCCAGCTAACAAGGCTTTGCATTGCTTTCTTTTTTTTTAGATGGAGTCTCACTTTGTTACCCAGGCTGGAGTGCAATGGCACGATCTCGGCTCACTGCAACCTCCACCTCCCATGTTCAAGTGATTCTCCTGCCTCAGCCTCCTGAGTAGCTGGGATTACAGGCACATGCCATCATGCCCAGCTAATTTTTGTATTTTTAGTAAAGACATGGTTTCAACATCTTGGCCAGGCTGGTTTCGAACTCCTGACCTTGTGATCCACCCACTTCAGCCTCCCAAAGTGCTGGGATTACAGGCGTGAGCCACCATGCCCGGCCTCACATTACTTTCAGTTTTGAGTGACAAAGCAGTAGCTCTTGTTTCAAACAAATTTCCAATATTTCCAGCCCACATAGTACTTCAGGTGACGAGGTCAACATTATTAACATCATCTACTTCAGCTTTGGTGACGACTTTTCTCAGCAGCCACAACCACATGCTTTCTCAATAGATCCACCAGGTTTGCATGCTGTGGCTGACCTGGGCTTGACTTCCACCACCTTTTCTCTTTTTAAGGAATTCTCTTTAATCTGAGACATTTACTAACCCATTATCAAGATAACATCTTGTAAGTTCTTGCCCAGTTTCAACATAAGAACTACAGGAGCTTTCTAGGACAGTGGCGCTAACTGGAAGAATGTAATTTATGTTTTGTGGGGTCAGTTTCTCATTTTTCAACGGACCATCTTTATCAGCATTGTAACCCCAATCTGATCAATAAAAGCCCTATGATTACTGCTTCATCTACGGTTTTTCACAGGACTTTGTCTGTCTCATGGAAATCTGCCTGAGAGGAACTAATGTCTCTTATACAAGCCAGGATCCATTAAAAGAAATTCTGAGCATTTTTACTATCAGCTCTGATGGATCTTAGATGGCATGAAGATAAATTGCATCAGGCAATGAACTATAATACTGCCTATCTGTTACCACCCTTCCTTGTCAAGCACTGCGTACTCTATTCCCTTTTCTCCCAAGACAAGCAGCCAAAGTTCTCATGAAATGCCAGTTTTCTGCCCAGGATGGTCAAGAACTCCCCTCTTTTCCCCCTCACTGTAAGTACATGTCTCTGTAACCCTTGTTTAAAAGGGCACAGAACCTTCTTCCTAGGTAGGGCGAATCCTAGACTGGTTGCTACAATGTTGTTACAATAGGGTGGACCTGACCCTGACCACGAGATTGGCCCCCTTCAAGCCAAGAGGATGGATGGCAACAACCAAGGCACTTTACAAGAGGTTCCAGGGTTTTTATTCGTTCATTCATTCATTTACAAACACTTGGCATGTATCTACTATTGCTAGGCACTTTTCTATGTGCTAGGAATTTAGCAGTAAACAATTTAGATAAAAATCTATTTGCAGAATAAAAGTTCAAAATAAGTAAATTACAACACATATTGGGAGGTGGCAGAGGCTGTGAAGAAAGAGAAGGAGGAAAGAAATGGAGGGGGAAGAAGAAGGGGAAGGAGAAGAACAAGAGGAGAAAGAGTAGGGAGGAGAGAATGAGATGGAAGAAGAGAAGAAGAAGGAGAAGAGAAAGAGTGGGAAGAGGAGCGAAAATGAGAATAGTGTTCTAGAATTCAGGTGTGGAGTGGGGATCAGGACATGATGTGGTGAGAGCAGGGTGTAGTTTAATTTAGGTCTGGACAGCTTACTGACAAGGCAAGAATTCAGTCAAGACCTGGAGGATTGGTAGTTAGGCAAACTAACTTGTATGGAAAGAATATTTTATTTCCTATCATCTACCCACCACCTAGAACCGCGCCTGATTCACAGAAGCTCAATGAAAACTCGCTGAATGAATGGAAGTTCAGGTACCATCTGTTGAGTCCTGTTCTTTGTTCACAGACTGACGTGAAAATTCCACATTTTATCTCTGTTCAATTTCCAACTCTCTTGTGAGCAAATCAATAAACACGAACACATAAACCCAATGGTCAAATACTTTTTAGTGGTAAGCAGAACATTTAATGGTTCAATCTGGAATATTTTAACCGATCTGGTTTCCCTTAGGAACAGCGAGCAGGTTCTTGTCTTGCACCTACATTACTAAAGGAACTCACTAGAGGAATCTCTCCCTAAACAAAAGGCGGATCTGTTCCAAAGACAAATTTCATTTTCTAACACAGAATGCAAAAATTGCTGGCAGACCCAAATTGCGGATCTTTAATTTCAGAAAATGTGATTGAGGCTTTATCTACTATTACGTGAAGCCAACACATGTCTCCCTAAATTTTGCCCGTGGTCCCAATCCTACTTTTGGGGCCATAAAAATGAGTAGAATCCTTCTTTTATATATTGATGCTGAAATGTTTGAGGCAGACTGATATCTTCCCTGTGTTTTCTTTCCTCCTGGAATAAGTAATCTTATCTTTTCTTTTTTAAGAAAAATAATTTCATTTAAGACATTGGAATTTCTCCACTATCTTATAAAATGTCCTCTAAAAGTGTTCTAATTTGCTTTAAATTGTGCCATTTCATTTGCTCAAGGTATATTTTTGTTCATGGAGCTTAAGATCACAGTAG